GTGTGTGTGTGTGTGTGTGTGTGAGTGAGTGAGTGAGTGTGTGTGTGTGTGTGTGAGAGTGTGTGTGTGTGTCTGTGTGTGAGTGAGTGTCTGTGTGTGTGCGTGTGTAACTAACACACACACACACACACACACAGACACAGACACACACACAGCAGCATTTCAATAATTCATTTACACAAAAACACAATCTCTAATGCGTAAACACTTCCTCTGATCCGCCAAAACTGGTTTGTTCATTGTTTTGGTCCGCCTGACTCAAATATCACTGACTCTGATGCAGTATTTGAGCTTTACCTTGCAATATACACAATATAACAAGGTACTTCAAAGAATACCATGGTACTACTGTGGTACATGTCCAAAAAAATCATAAAATTACTGTGTATATAACAAATAATGCAATATAAATTTTCACCTACACTACACTGTAAAACAAAAATGTTTTCACTCAATTTAACTGTAAGTTGCATTCACGTAGAATATGAGGTATTTTAACTTGAAAAATTTAAAGTTATTTGAACATAAAGTTTAGTTGGAATAACTATGAAAGCAAGCAGGAGGAACTTTAAAAGTTGTTTTTAATACTTTTAAGTTCACTGTAAAAATGTGTTTTCTTCACTCTACTTTATCTATTTGTTAAGATGCATTTTCAGCTTGACACATTTCAAGTTATTTGAACGCTTAGTTGGAATATGTCTATATCTTTAGGTTGTCAATACCAAAGTTCATGTTCATTTAACTTAATTTGGCTTATTTTCATAGTTCATCCAAACTTAGAAAGTATAATAAACCTTATCATAATGCCAAATAATTAAAAAACATAAAAATAGCATATTTCAGTTGAATCAGCAAAATTTACAGTGTACTGTTAATTAAAATATATATATATAATTACTCTCAATATGAGAAAACTAAAAAAAAAAAAAAAAAAGTGGCTCAAAAATAACAATCAAAATAAAACACTAACATAGATTAAATATTTTATTTGTTTTCCTGCATGTCACGTTCAAAATCCTAATTTTTTTTCCTCTCAACTCGTCCTCATTTCTTTGTATTACTCTTAAATTCGCACTTCTATTATTGTTCGTAATGCAGGAACGCATGCTTGTGTTTTGGATTCGGATAAAGTAATAAAAGCAAATGTTAAAATGAAAGCCAAGAAATAAAAACCAACAAATTAAACCAGTTTGAGATGAAATATTAACCATCTTTTCTTCAAACACAAACAAGCTTTATGATGATGACAGTATCGCAGGACAGCGTGTCACTGCATTAGTATTTCCACCGGCTCTTATCTCATTAACCTCCTGTTTACCGACTCCCTCTTCCTCACCTGACCCACAAACAGCATCATTTAAAGGCTGGTTTACCGTAGTAAAGCTGCTCTGATTACCTGTGCATGTTGGTGTGTGTGCTCTCACGGCCGTCTGGATGCGACTGAAGCGTTCCTGGCAGGAATTCTGCTGTTCTTCCAGTCCGCTGGAATGTGATCCGACAGCATTGATGTCACTCGCTCCTTCTGATCTCAGATCAGCCTCAGCCACTTTATGGCTTTTTATAGCCAACAGAGTCAGTCTAGAGTTCAGAGATTCCACCGAGAATAGAATTCTTCTGAGACATTCCAAAGACTATCTTGATCTTCAGTGCAAGAGTCACACGATCAGTGACGCTCATTTATTTGCTTTTCTGATTAGTCACATAGAAACTTAGAGAGTTATCAGAAGCTTTATGTCAGAATGTTGCTCGTTTTACTTTTTGTGAAATCTGAAAACTGAATGGAAAAAAAAAATCTACAGGTAAAACTTTGCAATAAGGTCCCATTAGTGCATTAACTAAAATTTACTAACAGTGTGCATTACATTGTAACAGTATTTATTATTATTTGTTAGCATCAGTTCATATCTGTTGCATTCCTATAACAAAGTTTATGTGTCGGTGAGATTTTTTATGAAAGACGTCTCTTCTGCTCACCAGGGCTGCATTTATTTATTTTAAAAATACTGTAAAAAAGTGAAATATGATTACAATCTAAAACAGCTGTTTTCTGTGTGAATATCTGTTAAACTGTAATTTATTTCTGTGATGCGCAGCTGTATTTTCAGCATCATTACTCCAGTCTTCAGTGTCACATGATCTTCAGAATTGACTTCCATTGTATTTTTTGTCCATTTAATGGGAACCGTAACGGTTTGATTCCAAACATTCTTCAAAATATATTTTTTCATGTCCCACAAAAGAAAGAAAGTCAAGCAGGTTTGGAACAGTAAAAAAATATATATATATATAATTATTTCATGATTTGTGGGTGCATTATCCCATTAAGAATAATGAGAATTACAAAAAACCCTAAAATAAAATGTACAGAAACGTTACAGTCATGAGATGTGTTTAACAATCGTGAAAATATTGTGAAAATGCAACGTATGTTAATGCTCCTGAATACAGGCTTCACTCTCTTGATGCAAAATATATTTTCTTATTTTCTCTTTTGGTTTTGATGTGGCATGTTAGTCATTTTAGTTTCAGGATGATAAACTAGTCAGGTGTGTGTGTGTGTGTGTGTGTGTGTGTGTGAGTGGAAACAAACGTCCAGCGTCAGCAGCACACGACACATTCATAGACACACAGAGACTCACAGGAGTACAGGACTTCCCTTTGTACAAGACAAAACACTGACAGAAACGAGCTTTCAGCAAGAACACACACAACACAAACACACACACTCACAGTCTCTCTCTCTCTCTCTCTCTCACACACACACACACACACAACACACACACAACAGCGCTTTCAGCCTGTGTGAATTATGTCACTTAGTAGGATACAACACAACACCACTGACCTCTAGACAACAGCTTTGTGTGTGTGTGTGTGTGTGTGTGTGTGTGTGTGTGTGTGTGTGTGAGTGAGTGAGTGGTTTGTACAGTATAAAAACCATTACGCCTATGGAATGTCCCCATAACGTGATGAATACACAACATGTGTGTGTGTGTGTGTGTGTGTGTACTGCACTTTAAAGCTGAAGTCAAACATCATCCCTGATTACAGCAGAAGCAGACACACACACACACACTGATATTACAGCTGCTCCTCAATGCTGTCATTAACTCTAGCTCCTGCTCTATCAGACTCGCTCTGTGTTTATCTTCTCCTGCAGCACATAAATCACCGAACATCTCTGGCTCCCATCTAATGTAAATATTTTAAGACAGAAGAGAGGAGAGCGTCCCGTCGCTGCCTGACTCTGACACGCCTCGATCATGACATCATCTGATGAGACACCAGAGGACAAAGTCAAGTGATGCATGCTGGGAACTTCAGAAAACTAGCAAAAACTGAACTAAACTAACTCTGGAACGGCTTTACAAAAACTTTTACTGAGCCACTTTTTTGTAGTAACTCTGATCAAATATGATTGATACACCACATACCGCATACACACACAACGTGATTTCTATGGAAGCGTGTTTATGCCACACAAATAAATAAATAGAAAAAGTCATTGCATCTTTTTATTTCAGAATTCTGACTTTTTTTCTCTCACAATTTACAGCTTGCATAAGTTTAAATCTCACAATTCTGAGTTTATCCCCCGGTTTCACAGACAAGGCTTAAGCTTAGTCCCAGACTAAAATGTAAGTCTGAGCTGTTTCATCTGAAAGAAACTTGCACTGATTGATCTTAAAATATATCAGTGCCTTTATTTTGTCTCGAGATGCACACCAGTAATGTATTTTTCTAAGGCACGTTTATAAAAATTACTTAAATGTCTTAATTGAACTATGGCCTAATCCTGGCTTAGTCTAAGCCCTGTCTGTGAAACCAGACTTAAGTCTCACAATTCCGTTTTTTTTTTTATTAATTGCAACTTTTTTTCTCAGAATTCTTTTTTTATATCTCAGTGGCAATTAAATAAAAAGTGGCAAAACTCTTTTTATTCCATGGCAAAAACTAACTTTCATAGATTTCGACATGGTAGTTGTTCAAATAAATGACATAATTAATAATTAATTAAAGAGCTGTGCATTTGTTCATTTAGCAAACACTTTATCCACAGTGACATATGTGAGGAATATGGGCAGGGTGCAATATGATCATGTGCTCAATATACTGTATTTACTCAGCAAATATTTGAAGATTTTAAGAACATGTTCAGGATCAGACATGAGAACAACAGAATTACAGCGAAACGTATGTGCTTCATACAGACTAAATCATTTAATCTGACAGTGACTCTGATCACTGAACAAAACAAACTGTTAATGTTCAGAATGCAAATGAACAGAAATTAGGTTTAGAGCATAAACTCAGACGACCGTGCAAAATAAAGATGCAATTCACTCGGTGCTGATATGAGCACATAGAAACATACTAAAGACCTAAAGCACAAATAATACAACAGACAATATGAAATGCAACTGAATAAGAGCACAAGAGAATGAAATGACAAACTTTTATAACACCTCCAATCTAAAAACAACATACAATCCAAAATAAATCATCAGAGGAGATCAAAGAAAAGTTTAAAGGTAGAGTTTATGAGAGTGTGTGTGTGTGTGTGTGAGAGAGAGTGTGTGTGAGAGTGTGAGAGAGTGTGTGTGTGTGTGTGTGTGTGTGAGAGTGTGTGCGCGTTTTTGTGACAAATGAGGACATAAATTTGTATAATGACAAGGGTATGACATAGGTATTACAAGGAGAAGGTGACTTTTCAGGACATTACCCCATGTCCCCACTTTTCAAAACGCGTATAAATCACACAGAATGGAGTGTATTGAAAATCTGAAATAGCACAAAGTTTCCTGTGAGGGGTAGGTTTAGGGGTAGGGTTGGTGTAGGACAATAGAATATACGGTCTGTACAGTAGAAAAACCATTACGCCTATGGAGAGTCCCCACTTTTCACAAAAACAAACCTGTGTGTGTGTGTGTGTGAGTGTGTGTGTGTGTGTGTCTGACCTGTTGTCTGCTGCGTGTTTCTGCTCATCTCCGTGAATCCTGAATGAATGAAACGCAGTCAGAATCACTCCGCCACAGTCCTTCACATCCATCATCCATCAGATCACGAACACACTCACGGAGATCACCGCACGCGTGTGTGTTTCTGCTGTAATTCACGCGAGTGTGTGTGTGTGTGTGAGAGCACAAACCAAATACGATTCATCTTATTTGATTTTTTAATGGTTGTTGTTACAAAGTATCAAATAAAGTACTTTAATTAAGAAATTAAAATTTTCCTACATATCTAATAATGTACAATAATGCTGCAGTGATGAAAACTGTGAAATGACACAAAAGGAAGTGTGTGAATGATGTAGAGATGAAAGCATGTGGCACAAATGAAAACTTCTTCTTTATCGGATTCCATCTGTAAGAAAGGACATTCCACCACAGAAGAACGAGGCGTTAATGAAGCACCTGGTAATGTAATTTCTTCAAACATCAGCTCTTCCTCTTCAGTCATGATGTCGTGATAACTTCACACTGATTCTGTTCCTCTGTGAGGAATTTCAGTCAGACTCTGTGATTTACAGTTTAATGCTGCTGAAGGATGAACTGTTATCGAGCGGCTGCCACAGCAGCTTTCTGTTCATCTGTCCGTCTGATAACCTGCAGCTGTTCTTCATCATTTATTTTCACTGAACCGACCAATCTAAAGCCTTAGGACAGTTTGCATGTTAACACGATATAACTCTATCCAACTAAAGAAGAAAAGCGTGTATTAAGACAAGCATCACTTTTACTGTGAGCAACCACACAGAACACCCTAGCAACCAAACAACACCCTAGTAGCAACTGAATAACACACTAACAATCACACAGAACACCCTAGCAACCACCTAGCAACCAAACAACACCCTAGCAACTGAATAACACCCTAACAATCACACAGAACACCTTAGCAACCACCTAGCAACCAAACAACACACTAGCAACCACATAGAACATTCTGGCAACCGAATAACACCCTAACAACCACACAGAACACCCTAGCAACTGAATAACACACTAACAATCACACAGAACACCCTAGCAATCACCTAGCAACCAAACAACATACTAGCAACCACATAGAACATTCTGGCAACCGAATAACACCCTAACAACCACACAGAATACCCTAGCAACCAAACAACACCCAGGCAACTGAATAACACCCTAACAATCACACAGAACACCTTAGCAACCACCTAGCAACCAGACAACACCCTAGCAACCAAACAACACCCTAGCAACCACATAGAACATCCTAACAACCACACAGAACACCCTAGCAACTGAATAACACACTAACAATCACACAGAACACCCTAGCAATCACCTAGCAACCAAACAACATACTAGCAACCACATAGAACATTCTGGCAACCGAATAACACCCTAACAACCACACAGAATACCCTAGCAACCAAACAACACCCAGGCAACTGAATAACACCCTAACAATCACACAGAACACCTTAGCAACCACCTAGCAACCAGACAACACCCTAGCAACCACAACAACACACTAGCAACCACATAGAACATCCTGGCAACCGAATAACACCTAACAACCACACAGAACACCCTAGCAACCACCTAGCAGCCATAAGGTTTATATATATATATATATATATGGTTTATATATCTTCTGCTCACCTGCATTTATTATATTAAATTTTTTTTAAAGCAGTAAAAATGTGAAATTTTATTACAATTTAAAATAGCTGTTTTCTATGTGAATATCTGTTAAACTGTAATTTATTTCTATTTATCAAAGCTGAATTTTCAGCATCATTACTGCAGTCTTCAATGTCACATGATCTTCAGAAATCATTCTAATATGCTGATTTGCCGCTCAGTTATTATCAGTTATCATTGATGCTCTGCATTTAATCTCTTTATCCTTTGAATGAAGGTCTCTAACGAACGTGAAATTAAAAACACAAAGTCTGTTTGATTGCAGGAGCATGAGCTCATAGATGTGCTCTGCGTATGATTTATTCAGCACACGAGGATTGATTTCTTTCAGAGTCACTTCCAGTTTCAAGGCTGCTGTTGCTCAAAGGCTGAATAAATGATGAGCGACGGGGCTTCAGCGCAATTACAGATCCTTCTAGAAACCCTCTTCTGTCCATCTGGAGCGATTCTGGAGAGAGCAGGAGAAGCTTCAGCTCTACAAATACTCATTTCTAGAGGTGTAAAAGCACAGCATCTTCAGGTGTCTTTATATCTGCTGTTCCTCGGGAAGAGTTTGGCTGTGTTTTGCTTCCACTATCAGATTTCCGGAACGCACCTGCTGCCAAATTTCCATGCTGAATTCTTCACGCGATTCCTCGGAGATGACTTACAATGAACAAAGTTAGAGCAGAAATTCCTCTGAAATCATTAAGAAACCTTTAATATGCTATCAGCCTGATTCGAGGGAATAAAACTAATGAAACGACTGAAGAAATGGAGAGAATCAACAGCTAAGTGTTATTTTAGTATATCATTATAGTTTTTATTAATATTGTGAATCAGCTTTCATTTAAAATTTTTCATTTTCATTTTAGTTAAAGTTTTAGTCATTTTGTTTTGTGTTTTTGTCATTTTTAGCTGTTGTTTAAGTCTATATTTTTATTCATTTTATCTCAGTTTTAGTTTTAGCTATTTTAGTACGTCAAGTAAACTTCATGTTTTCATTGATAGATGTTAAATAAATAAAAAGCTGAAATAAAAATATTTTTTTCAGCTAACTTTTATTTTATTTCAAGTAATGAAAATGTTTGTTGTTTATGATTTTAGTTTTCGTTAACTACTGTATAATAACCCTGCTTGCAATAAAATACATTTTAACTGAAATAAAATTATAATTAAAATTGTTTAATTTATTTTATTTTAACTAGTTGCCAAGGCAACGGTTCTCATTTTCATTGAAGAATTAAATAACTAAAACTAAAACCTAAAGAGTCCATATTGGTACCTTAAAGGTACAAAAGTGTGCCTTTTGAAAAGGTACCGCCCCAGGGACAGCTTCTGTACCTTTTTTTCTGAGAGTGAATGATTGATCTTTGATTGACAGATTGAGATGTTTTTGGTGAAGTGAGTGGTCAGTGCTGATGTGTTGGAAACAGTGTCGTGGATCTCTGGAGGATCTCGCTGTCTGCCACTTCCTGTGACCTCTGACCTCTCCCTTTCCTCTCGGAGCAGTCGCTTAGCAAGCCTGAATAAACACACAATAACCTGAGGTTACCACCGTCTCACAATAACACACGATCTGAAGGCACTTGACATGACTGAGTGATGAAATATAATACAGCACAGACTGCTGCAAGTGTGTGTGTGTGTGTGTGTGTGTGTGAGTGAGTGTGTGTGTGTGTGTGTGTGTGTGTGTG